TAATGAATGTAAGGTACACAGTGGGATGTGCAATCTAGAAAGCATTCAAATCCTTACGTCCTGGGTCCAAGTCCAACCTTCTGCTTCTTCCTTCCTACACCGTCTAAAGAGAAAATGCATGAATAAACTCTCTCACTTATTATTTGGGGAAATATTTGGGGGCTCATACTTTTTTTTGGCAGCAGAAACTAGTACCAAGGTTGATTCCTCCCCCCCCCCTTTTTTCTTGTCAGTGTAACCAAAATAAACTTTGGACTGCGTCCTGGGTTTAGTTCAAGTTTGTGAGGTTACTTTAGGTATTCTTTCTTTGATCCCATAACTTTAGGCACATAAAGCCTTTCCTCACACTGTAAAAGCTATCTCTGAGAGAAATCCTTTTTTTGTTTTTGGAGATTTTTTTGGTAAAGCTTTCTTAGCTAAAACCAAAATAAAACCTGAGAACCTCTAGGAGAGGAAAAAAAGCATGATTTCTATATATTCAAGTCCGCTGCTTTCATTCCCTTAATAGGGCCCCTCAATCTTTCTGCCAGGAAAATGATCTGCAAAATGTAGAACTGGCTGCATCTCCTTCTGCTGGGTCCTATTACAACAATGTTGTCACCCAGGCTACAAACCACTCTATTGCACAGCGTCGTGCACCAGCCTTGGCTTATCAGCTGCAATCTGTGTACGTTTTGCTCCAACTCTGTGTCCGTGAATATCTTTTCCTCTTTGGGGAAAACGGCACACACAGCTGTCAATATCTGGAAGCCAAAAAAATGCCATCTCGTGTTTTTCCCCTCCCCCGTTTCCTCTTGCTAGAAAACTTGCAACAGATGCATTTTTTCCCCTTTCAACTATGGGGTTATATGCCCCCTTGTCTCCGTGGCACAGATCTGTGCTGGAATTTCAATCTTTCGTCCAGGGAAAATAAATCCTTGATTTTTCTGTTGAACAGCCTGTAAATTTTCCAATCACTCACTTATCGCTCTTAAAATATATAAAATACAGGCTAAAGAGAAGTTTGATTAGTCACTACTGCATGGAAAATTGAGTATAAATAGGTGCTGCAGTTGAGCGACAGCCCAAATCTCATCCCTTCCTGATTCCATCATACAGCTTGCCATTGGGAATTTGGGAGTCTTCAGAAATATCAACAAAGCAGATGAAATACAGGTGGTCCTCCATTTACAACAACTTATTTAGTGACTGTTCAAAGTTACAACGGCACTGAAAAAAAGGTAACTTACAACCGTTATTCACACTTATGACCAATGCAGCATCCCCATGGTCATGTGATCAAAATTCAGAGGCTTGGCCACTGACTCATATTTACGATGGTTGCCGTGTAGAGTCAATGGAGAAGCCTAATTCGCTTAACGGCCGTGTTACAAATTTAATGACTGCAGTGATTCCGCTTATTAACTGCGGCAAGACAAGTTATAAAATGGGGCTAAGTTCACTTAACAAATGTTTCACTTAGCCGCAGCAAGGTTGGGTTCAATTGTGGTTGTACGTCGGGGACTAGCTGAATGACAGTTTATGAGTTGTGACAAACAATGAACCTTATCCACGATGATTTTTGCAAGCAACTATTCCTAGGAGGAAGGGGCCCTGCAGCAAATTTCTGAGGACAAAATGTACCACTTTAAGCCAGTTGGAATGGTAGATTTGTTTCTGAAAAGGTTCCTTACCACCATTTGTCTGAACACTATTGAAAGTGAATGTTTTTGTAAATGTCACTATCCCAGCTATTAGGCCATAAACAATCTTTAAGCCGCTTATAGTCATATGTATCTGAGTGCAACAGCATGTTCTTTATTATTCACACTGAAGAAGCCTGCCAATATGGCTCCCTTTCAAGCCACTCTGTTTGCTTTTTCTACCCTCAGTACACGAAGTTCACATACGCAAAACGTAATGTGTTGTATTCTCTCTTTTCTTCAGTCTGAACTTATTAAAGGGTGTCTTCTAAGTTTCCCACCAAATTATTTGGGGGCTTGGGGAGGGGAGGGGAAGAGCAGGTTGCATAATCTTGTTATTTGATAGCAAGAGATCTTCAGAGGTGAAAGTTACATATGTTTAGAAAACGGGCTTGCTTTGAGTTCAGATTAATAAATAATAAGACTGTTCTTGGCCCCTTTGCATTCGCTGGATGGACTCGTCACGTACAAGGAAGGGGGTGGGAAGAGGGGAATGCGCAAAGGAACATGTTTTTCTGTACCTATTTGTTGAGAGCTCCTTGGACATGAGCAAAACTTTGACATCTGAAAGAGCCACTTGTATTCAAACTAGGAATGGGAAAACTAGTAAAAAGTTCAGCCGGTGTACTAAGTCACCATTGAATAAATTGCTCAAACAAGACTTATATGCTGTTTCCCCTCACCAAGCAGGCAAAGAGGATTTAGGGAATTATGCCAGATTGTCTAATCTCTTCCTAGTATAAAGTTGCAGCAGGATAGGCCATAAACACATTCAAATGATCAAATATTACCTCAGTAAACCAGATATATAAGGTTCAAATACACATACAGCCCCATTCCCTTCTATTTGCTTCTCACTTAAACACACAAATCCCAGGTTAACAAGCCACAATTAATCAGAATTTTCCACAAGATGTGTTATTATACTGTAGTTTAAAATTGTTTTCCATATCCTGATTTGTTTGGAAGCCACTAGTTGTAGTTTCCGATTTGAATTTGAACTTGCAATTTTCTGGCTTAGTCATCACCTTTATGAGGTAGAATTAAGTAGGAGTCAAGATCTGTGCTCAAAACTGGACACTGCCTTTTCCAAACTAACTCTGATTCATAAATGATAGGAAACAGGATTCCAATGTATCAAGGCCAAATCGTATACTTTAGAAATAAATGAGGCATTTAAACAAGAAAGTAAGGTGATGTGTTCTCTTGTTAATCTATGGCAGATGTTCAGTTTTAAATGGACCTTCTATTATTGTAATGCAAGCACAGCAGAACGAATTTCTTAACTGAAGTGCTTGTACATGTTTTACCAAAGCTCTTCTGCTTTATGATTTTAGGAAATATAGACTTTCCTTGCTAATAATTTCTTCCACAGAGGACAAGCAGTTTCTCCATCCCCTCCCCCCAAACAGAGCATCCCCAATTTCTAACCAAGAAATAAAGTGGATTAAGGTAATGCAGCAATCGAGATACAAAGGACAAAATGTGATTTGGAGCATGTTTGGGCATGCATGTTGCATCTGTGCTAAATACCTTAAAGCAAAGTATCTCTTCCTAAGATCTCATTTCAGCTGCAAAAGATAGCCCACAAGAGTTCAGGAAGAGACCATTCAAAAAATAGTCTTTGAAGCAGATCTCTGCAGAGCCCTAATGTGAACATTGTGGGAAAGCACAAAAACTGCACTGGAAAATGATTAGACAAGAAGGGTTAATTACACACACCAAATTAAAACCCCAATGATAATGTTTGTTTACTTACTTGGGTTTTCTCTATTAACCACAACAAGGATCTATCATTATATTCTTTGCAATGCAACGAAGAAGCTACCTATGATTCTTTGAAAGAAAGTCTCAGGAAATTCAGTGAACCATATTTGGCTATAAAATGGTTGCCTCAATCTCTACTAAGACAAGTTGATATGAATGCCAATTGACATATTCAAATGGATTTTCATTTTCCACTCAGATGCAAGATACAAAATTCCACCCCTACTTAGGATAGCTACATTTTTCCTCTATCCTTTCAATGTATTAGCTGCAATTCATACATCTTAAAATGGCCCGTTTGAAAAAAAAAAAACCACTGCTATCTATGGTCATTTAGTGTGGTTATAAATATTCTCCCCACTTGAAATTCTTATGGTTTAGAAAGAAATCCTTTTAATGACAAATGATTAATCAGGATAGCCATCTTTAAGGGGCTTTTATTTTTCAAAAGCAAATCAATGGCCAGTGAAAATGGTCAGTGTTACAGATACATGGTGCAATTGGGAGAAAAACATCTGACTCACCTGTGCGGGAGTAGATGAACCATAAAGCTCCTGTCAGCAGGGCACCTATCACAAAAGCTGCAAAGGCAATTCCCACAACTGTCAACGTGTCCAGGCCGTACACAACAGCTGTGAAATTCAAAGATGAGAGAGGGGGGGCAGGGGGAGGGAGAGAGGGAGGGAGGGGGAGAGAGAGAGGAGGGGGAGAGGGAGAGAAATCAACACATTTGCAATGCAGAATCAAAGACATTTTACTTGCATTCAGAAAAAAAAAAAAAAAAACCAAAAGGGATGGCATTTTTCCACCCCTAAATTGCATTTTGTAATCAGGACTTGGCACCTTTTGGGCTTACCAAATATAAATTCACCTCAAGCTCTTTTTGCCTCAAGTAGCTTGTTTTGCCTCCCCCTCCCCTCTGCTTCTGGCCCATGTCAGTATAGGTAGTCCTTGAATTACAACCATTCATTTAGTGACTGTTTAAAGTTACGACAGCATTGAAAAAAAGGGAATTATGATCGTTTTTCACACTTATGACCGTTGCAGCATCCCCACAGTCATGTGATCAAAATTCGGGACACTTGTCAACTGACTCACATTTATGACAGTTGACGTGTCCCAGGAACACCTTTTGAGACAAGCAAAGTCAATAGGGGAAGTCAGATTCATTTAACAACCGTGTTACTAACTTCACAACTGCAGCGATTCACTTAACAGCTGTGCCACAAAAGGTTGTAAAATGGGGTAAAAAAAACCACTTAACATCTGTCTCGCTTATCAATAGAAATGTTGAGCTCAATTGCGGTTGTGATGTCGAGGACTCCCTGAGGATGTTCAAGCTTCATGCTGATTCTGGCAACACAACAGGGGAAAGCTGGGTGTGAAAAAAGCTGGGTGTGTAGATTTGGGATCACAACGTCCACCCAAAGGAAAAGTCCAAATAAACTACACTATTGAATAGGTCTTCGGTTAGCGTGGCCCGTTATTTCACAAGAACAAAGCAGAGAAGCAGGATGCAATTTTAAAATGTGTCTCTCCCATGTGCAGCTTCGCCCTGGTAGGTTTCCTGCCGCTTTCTGCTTGTTTTTAAGTTGAAAAGACCAAAAATAACTTACTTCTCTAATTTTAGCCTCCTCCGTTTTTGAATCCATGGACCCCCTCACGCTTGTGCCTCTGAGGTAAGGCAGGATAAAACTCAATTCAAATAATGAAACAAGGCCTCTGCCAATTCCATCCCATCTCTCCAACTGTCTTCAGCAGCATATTAAGCGAGGAGCGGAAAGACTGTCAACCAAGCAGGAGTGCCAGCTTGAAAGTCAGCAAATACATAAATAGAAACAATTGTTTTTCACATTTTGGCAGCAGTTTTAATGACGGAAATCGGTTCCAGGCTGTAACATGGAGCCCGTACTGGGAGAAGCAGGATAATTTGTGTGAGTGTACATCTGGTTCCTGAAAGCAGGGCTTTGAATGTCTGCTGAGCGGTGGCAGCCACTTCCAGCCATTCGCAACTTTCACTCCTTTTATGCGAAGAGAGCTACGGGGTGGAGCCTCGTTCATTTTTATTGAGGTTTGGCTTAAGGCGTCATATTTCTAGGGTCTCCGGGTTATTGGAGCCCTTTCGTTTGCTGCTAATTTCACTGGAAGGCCAGCCTGAGATGGAGTGCCGGCCATCTCTCCCCATCAGCCGACTGTTCACAGGGATGCCAACACCACAATATTATGTATACAGGTAGCAGGGGTGGGATTCAAGTTTTTTAACAACCGGTTCTGTGGGCGTGGCTTAGTTGATGGGCATGGCTTGGTGGTCATGTGACTGGCTGGGCGTGGCCAACTCAACATCACTCACATTGAGGCACGCATCTCCTCGCTTGGCCTCTCATGACTGTGGGGATGCTGCAACAGTCGTAAGTGTGAAAAATGGTCATAAGTCACTTTTTACAGTGCCATTGTAACTTTGAATGGTCACTCCACAGAGGCAAAGTACCAGAAAAGGAGGAAAATAAAACCTCCAGAGAAGTTCCAGAGACAGGAAGTCTAGTCCTGCCAAGAATGTAATAAGGGTCAATGGAGAGGCAGTTTCTGTAAGCAACACCAGAAAGTTTCCTTCCTGCTTTCCTTACAGGATTAGGCCAGTAATTTCTTCTAACAACCGGTTCTCCGAACTGCTTAGAATGTTAACAACCAGTTCTAGAAAATTGGTGCAAACTGGTAGAATCCCACCCCGACATGTAGTCCTTGACTTACAACAATAGGGAGCAGACTTTCCATCGCTAAGCTAGGCTTGTTGTTGAGTGAGTGGAACTGATTTTATCTCCTTTTAATTTTTTTGCCATGGTTGTTAAGCAAAGCACCGTGGTTAAGTGAATTGTGAGGTTGTTAAGTGAATTGTGCAGTTGTTAAGCAAACCCAGATTCCCCCCCCCCCAAAAAAAATTGACTTCACTGGTCAGAAACCAGCTGGAGAAATCACAAATTATGATAACACCACAAGGGATGCTAGCTACCGTATAAATGCTTGCCAGTTGCCAAGGCCCAAATTTTGATCATGTGTCTGTGAGGAAGCTGTGACCAGCACAAGGACCAATCGTAAGTCACTTTTTTCAGTGCCGTTCAAACGGTCACTAAATAAATGGTTGTAAGCCGAGGACTACCTCTACTTTGTTTTGTTTTTAATTCATGAGGGTGTCGTACAAGTTCATTTCTACATGGCCTGTGCAAGCCTTATTTGATTTGAAAGAAATAGCATCAATAGCAAAGCAGCAAGCAAAGATGGAGACCATGGATCTAGCCATTGGTGAATCCCATCCACCAATCATCATAGTTTTGTTAATTTAGATCAGAGGTGTCAAACTCAAGGCCCAGGGGCCGGAACCGACTCGCGGGGTGCTTAGGTCAGTGAAGGACCAGCCCACGGTGCCTCTGCCAGTGAAAACAGAGCTCAACAGGGCCACGGGGGACCTCCTGAGCTCCATTGTTGCTGGCAGAGGGTTGCAGGAGGCCGTCGCAGCTGGAAACAGAGCTCGAGAGCCCATTTTCACTGGCAGAGTGCTTGGGCCACCACAGGTTCCCCCAACATGAGTGACATCGAGGTGGCCACACCCACCCTGCCATGCCCATTCTGGCCCACTGAGGTCAAACACGACTATGATGCGGCCCTCAATGAAATCAAGTTTGGCACCCCTGATTTAGATATTATTTAGTTTATTTTATGGATAATATTATGTGTATTTACTTCAACAGCCCAAGATGGAGAATTCTTGGCTTAAGCCCCTTTTCCAGAGCAAGTATCTTGAGACTCAGATGCATTCTTCAAAGGTAAAATGGGAATTTGAACCTGAGGGCCTAATGCCTCTTTGGCAGTTTCCCCACATGGGTTTTTTCCTAAAAAAAAACCTGCTTCTCTACATAATTCATACGTTAAAAAAGGTTTACAACCATTCTCAGTTCAGCTGAGAATGAAAGAGCAAAGAGAAGAGCAACAAAGTGAAGACAAGAGCAACAAAGAGAGACTAAATCGTATGATGAATGGCTAAGGGACTAAGGGAACTAGGTATGGCTATCTAATGAAGAGGGCTTAAAGGTGACTTAATGGCTATCTCCAGTACTTGAGTGGCTCTCACAGAGAAGAGGAGGTGAACTTATTTTCCAAAGCACCTACAGGTAGGACAAGAAGCAATGGGTGGATACTCATCAAAGAGAGATCCAACCTGTAACTAAGGAGGAATTTCCTGACAAAGAGAACAATAAATCAGTGGAACAGCTTGCCTCATGGAGTTGTGGGAATTCCATCACTGGAGGCTTTCAAGACAAGATTGGACAATAATTTGCCCAGGATGGTATAAGGATTCCTGCCTTGGACAGGGGGTTGGACTAGAAGACCTTTGGGATCTTCCAATCCTGGGGTTCTCTTCTGTTCTATTCTATTCATTTTTCTAGATGTAGTTCCCTAAAAACAAGGAGGATTATATATACTTACACGCTGATCCTTGAGAAGGATTCAAGTGGGAGGATTTATCTGCCAAAAGAAAAAAGAAAAAAAGGAAAGAAAGAAAGAAAAAAATTTATACCCAACAGAAATTCTTAAGTAGAATCTGTAGCCTAGTAAGAAATCCAGTTAAACTGATCAAACCTGAGTGAGAATGTAAAGAGGAGGAAAGGAAATCCTTTCTATCTCATTAAGTGTCTTTGGTGAAATAATCTTGAAAAACGCAGGCAACCAAAGTTACCGGGTGCTGTCCGGTTATTGCCAAATCACAAGCATTGGCTTTTTCTGTAAAGAATTCGATTTCACCCTTGAAGCATTTATGGTAAAACAGAAGCAGTTATCCCAAAGACCAAAGAAGTAAGAGTAAGTTGGAGACACGTAAATCCAAGGCATTGAAAGAATATAGAGGCAAACTAATTTTACTCCCAAAATAGTTTGCATAAAACAGGTTATCCCAGTCGAGAGACCTTTCAGAAATGCAGATTTCAAAACCCAGAATTCCCTCAGTCACTGCTGAGATGAAGCCCACTTATTCTGACTCTGATTGCAGAAGACAGGTGTGACATCTATCTAGATTTTAACTGTCACCAGTTTACCAAAATAATGATTGATATTGATATATTATTATATATTCGCTTATTGTACAATCTTCCATATCCTATGCTGCTCTCCGCAAATGAATGATGCCAGAGTAACAGAAAATGCAAACTAACTAATAAAAGAAACCCATACAGTAGCCCACAAGTCAAATGTTTCTAAATATGTTTCTAATTTCACTAGGATTGAATTCACTATAGCCATGGTGTTGCCTACATAGCCCAACCTTGCAACATTAAAAAACAACAACAAAAAACTGGAAGGATTTGTTTTCTCTTAAACATGCAACTATATTATCCTTGATCTCCATTAATGGGAATCATGAGTGTAACACGTGGAGAAAAAAGCAAGTTGTGGAACTGAATGTTCTGTTCTGATTCTGTATCTATGGTGCCTCCAAGTTTCTTTATTTGGCTTCTAACGCAGATCTAGCAGGAGTGGATCCAATAACATGGTTTGTAACAATGCACATAACAAATGGCCTGTTTTGCATCAAAATCTGTGATAACTAATGTCTTGGAGATGCAACTCTTATTTAGTTGTTAGTATTTCTAAGCCTTACAAATTTGCTCTTAGTTCACAATGACAATTAACCTCAAGGGCTTGATTCATAACCAAGAGGGTAAATGGCAGTAAAGACACACTGTGTGTATACTTGCATGCTGCTGCCCATGAAGCTGAATGTCTGAAAAATTCTAGGACGCATTCCAGTATGCATCACACAATAAATCTTATCAGCCCTTAGTTCACCATGTTTATTATCAAATTCTTTTCTCTTCTAAAATAAGAAACGTCTAAAAAAGATCTATAAAATATCTGGTTCCATTTGAACTACTGAGGTACTAGATTCCTTAGAGAATTGAATCCAAATGACATCCATTCTTGCTGATCCAATGAGGCATTTGAAATTCATGAGAGATTATGGATAAGGCCAGAAAAACACACAAAAAGCAAGCATTTTAATTGCATTGTGTGCAGAGACCAAATCTTTCTGGGTTGTCCTCAATGGATTCATTTGTGTCAAGAATAAAGATTTGCAAAAACTCCTGGCAGTCTCAAATAGCTAAGCAAAAACAGTTGTCCTTTTCACACCTAAAGCAGCGCACCATGCTGTACCATCAACTGCTTAAATGCCAAGAAGCGCTCTCTATGTGACTGAGGTTAAGGGATTTCTGATCTTCATCTTTTTTTAAAAAAAAAACCCTTAGAAAGCATTCCAGAATTTCAAACAGCCTTTGTATAGAAGTGAAAGATTTTGATCTCCATCTGAAAGCATTGGAACCCTCTAATTAATGTGTCATGTCAACGCCAAATGGGAGTGTGCAAGGCTGAGGTTTTCAAAATAAGTATAAGTGCTCATGTTTGCTGTAGTTGTTAGAGGGGCCCAAAGAAAGATTATTTTCATGCACACATGCATTGTTAGCTGGACTCCTGGGTTTTTGCCATCCATTTATTATCAACCCTGATTTTGAAAACAATGGCCCAACTTCAATTGGTAAGGATTGGCTGTGGCGCTTGCCATATTTAATCACCTATTGCCTTTTTAACTATATTTTAGATTCATCCTTTTCTATATACAGTATGGAGAGATTATATTCTGCAACTTTCTACCATTTTTCCACTTATGAAGCAGAGGGTGGGCGGAAGGAGAGAAAGAAAATACAACAGGGATTTATTTAAACAAAACAACAACAACCAATTCCAATCTAGGATGAATAAGGTAATGTTGGCTTATTCCGGCTTATCAATGTGCTTCCAACTACACAATGAAAAGAACCTTTATATATCACATCATTTATTAGGAATGTTCATTGCACTCAATTATGAAAAGGCAAAAAAGATATATATTTATCCAGCTTTTCAGATTTCTGGCAGCTTCAAATAAAAAAACAAATTAACATAGGATTGTTTCTTTTCTCATATGGATAAAGGGGAGGGTATATAGACCTAACAAATATATTGAGGGAGACAAGAGTTTCTTTGGAGTGCAATCCTCTTCTTAGTTCTACTTGTGCAAATAATTTTGGGTTATCAAAACAACTGCAAATTTTCTTTGAACATATGAAACTATTCATAAGTTAATATCAGATGGGTCCAACTAACCAGTTAACTGAATTAGGTTAATTTAATTAGTTGGAAGTCTTGCATACCTTGGAAAAAGAAATTCTAAATATTATGAGAATAGCTATTTTTAAGAAAAGTAATTATGTGGGGAAAATTAAGTCAATATATAAAGTAGAAATGTGGGCTGTGGGCTGTGACGTGAAGGACAAAAAGCAAATTGCACCTGATGGAGAAGTTTTATCCAAGCAGATGAAAGGTAGGGAATCTTCAATATACAAATAAGGATAACAGAGGATAGATCACTTGGAGGATAATTAGAGGTACATTAATTACTGTATATATTTCCTCCTCCTGAAAATATGTTAATTGTCATGCGTGCCCCGTTTTTGGCCTCTATGTGCCCCATTTTCGGCCTCCTTGAATCTCATGAGGCAATCAGCTGCTCATGCTAAACCAGCTTGTGCTGAAGCTGACCAGGTTGTTTGCTGTTTGCGGCAAGGAGGCAAATTGCTGGGAGGCAGAGGCCGAAGGGTGGGGGCCAGCAGGTGGGCGGGGCTTCGGCAACATTCGCTATATAAGACACACAGACATTTCCACCCATTTAGTGGGGGGAGTGTGTCTCATACATCGAAAAAAAATGCTGTATTTACAGTCCCAAAGAAAGTAATTATACAGCTTTCCCAATACCTATAGCATAATGAACAACTGGAATCAACTGTGCAACATTACTGAATGTTTATGGATTCCATATTGTTACACAGAATCAAAATGCATTCTTTTATGAATCCTTGGCCAAATTACATTTGAAAGAAGATTTAAGGAAAATATTAGTGCAAACAAACATTAGTGTTTAAAAATAATGGTGTCTTATAAATCAGGAATAATAATATCACCTCCTGGCACATGCCAAAATTGTATGTGCCAGGAGGCAAATTTTCATACAGAGATTGAAAATATGTTCAGTACCTTCTGATCTCACTTTAGTTATCACAGCAAGGGGTTTGGTGAAGGTTTTCTTATTCTGCATCATTGCAAAGATCATATCAACATTAAGAAAGGTACAAGCTTCATCTGGAAGGACACACTGCAAGATGGAGAGAGGGAGGTAAGATCAGGGACGCAATGAAAATATTTATATTATCACAGCAAATGGGCATCATCATCATCATCGGTATTTAGTAATATTTACTCAAGAAGAAACAAAACTTAATAAAAATATTTTCCACAAATGCTTGCAAGAATTCCCCCTCGGTTACATTTCAACTTTTCCTTGATACTGGGATTACTTAAAACTCTACCAATCCTCAAAGCTGCAGAGAGTCTCTTCTGTGCAGTGTCCATACAAATCCACATGTTGCTTCACAAGTTGTGCTGAAAAAGTTCTCTGCTTCCCATCCCAACTGCTATCTTCATTAACACAACGAACACAATAGGTGATGAGATTATTCAAGATGATTGATTGTTCATCTGCTATAAAACTGTTCAAAGTTTTTTTCCCCAAGTGGAAAACTAATATTGCCCATTTAGAAAAGATGCTGATTATCTTAATGCTTTGGAACAAAGAGACTTTTTCCCTACATAGAGATGCTTACTACATTTATAAAACAAATATTCTGAGATAAACAATAAAAAAATGCAGGAATTTAGTTTAAATGCTCATTTATTGTCCTCCAAAATCCTCTGAAGGAACCTAATAATTCACCAGTAAAGGTTCAGAAACAACAGCATTATTTTATCGCAGCAGGATCTGGGAAATTAATGTGAATGCATTGTTTACAATAAATGTGGTGAGCACCGAATAATTTCAGTAAACCTGAAGCACTTCAACAATAGTACGCAATTTCTACCTGCCACCTATAAACATTTGGTAGAAAATATATATCATGCTGTCAAAAACTACAACAGTTTTCATTGGGAAAATTCAGCATATATTGTCCCACTGTTGTTACTTCCAATTATTCCTAAATTTATTAACCCTTTAGAATCATTGTAATGACAATTTACTCCATGAGTGAGGGCAAATGTATATGTCCCACTGTTGTCCCAGGATAATGTTGCAGGATCCAATCTGGGTCTAGGAGCACCAGGATCAGAGTTTAGTCTTCCGAGCCCGTCTTCACGGAGCTTCTCTCTCACCAGAATGTGTGCTTTGGACTATTCTATGCATAGTATTTATGTGGTGCCCAGTTGGGTTGAGTGACTTCTTATATCCCAATCAATCAATAAGAAGCCACACCTAACCAGCCACCACGTAAGTACTATGTATAGAATAGTCTAAAGCACACATTCAGGTGGAGGGAAGTCCCTGGAGGATGGGCTCCAGAACAAGTTTGAAAGCTTGGAAGCACTTGTTCCCAGTGACCAACCCGGACTGGATCCTGCAAGTAGCTTCAGTTCAATGAATTAGCCTAGTGGTTAAGCTGGCCTTCTTAAGAGAATTTTTCATCTCCCAGAAATGCCCAGCTAACATGGCACATTGGTGGGACTGGATAACCAGTCCCAACAACAATAAATGCACAGGTTGGGCAAGATGAATGGATAGCTAGGATAATTGAAATAGGCCTATCTTATATGACTGAGGAACATCCTGGGAAAACACAGAATATTCTTTCGAATAACAGCTTAATCTTACAATGGGGAAAATGCTACTTGGCAATTACAGAAGATCTTGCTGCAGAAGATCTTCCAAAACTGATCATCCCTTCTGACTCAAATGCTTTCAAGAAACAAGAGTTGTATATATTATTATTTTTATTACTGTTTTTAATGTAAAGAAGAATGAGACGGAAGAGGAAGCATAGAAAAAAGGGGGGAATAACAACAAAATACCTATTAGGTTACATACAAAAATACCATTCAGCCACATTTTTAGAAAAACCATTAATCCTTGACCATATGAAATTACATTCATTGTTTTTTCTTTTATGCTGGAAAAGAGCCAACTTGCAGACGGAACATTCATATAGCCATACCTCAATATTATAAAAACTCCAAATGCAGAGGAGTAGCTTCATACCATACAACCTATTCTGGAAAAACTCACCATCACTCATATAGAAAATGTATTGGTTAACATTATCTGTTGCAAATTGGTTTAACCGATCAGTCACACTTATAACTTCTTTGGCTGCACTATTGTAAAGTAGCTTCCCAAACTTGGCACTATCCAGCTATGTCACAGCGAGCCAAGGTCTAAGGCTGGGTTTCTTAAACTAAGGGCCACGAACCCCCATAAGAGTCACATAGCCAGAATCAGATTTAAAAAAAAAACCTGGGCTTGCAGAGGCAAAGAGAGAGCCCGGCAAAATTTTGTTCTGTGCTTTTTTTCTACAAGTTGGTTGTTGGTTCATGAACAAGTTTTGACAACATAATCTCTAGGGCTGTCCACACTCCTCCTGCATGCTGATCTCTACCTTGCCTGTTCAAATCTGTAGCAGGAATTTGCAAATTGCCAAATTTGTGACTATCTGCAACTTATAAATTGAAATTACATTATAAAGAGTATGTGTTTATTTCTTGCCCAGCTCTAACTTCAATAAAATCAATAGTGTTCTTCACTTCACATTTTAGTCCTGATATTGAAAATCTGAGAACCTTGGCTTTCTCTATTTTCTTTTTCAATGATTTACATTAAATAAGCAAATTCTAAGTTTATTCACCCTTGCTAACCTGCCAGAGTTGTTGCAATGCAGGTGTATCACACTGTACATAATTGATGCTCTCAGAAAACAATCTATGCCCACCTTTTTTGTCAGATCCACACATTAAATCACAACCAATGAAGTTCTGGCTTAAGCTTTATCTTAAACTCCTAGTGGTGGTGTAGATTGCAGAACAAGGTAATTACAGATGTGTGTTTGTGTGTGCCAGAAAGAGAAAAAGGGAGAGGAATCTTTTCACAACTTACCAGAGCTAATCCTGGAATTTCTTTTTCTTTTTTCGTGCATAAGGTCACCTCACAGTGTAGAAAGAGAAGAGAGCTGTTGAATGTGGATTTGAATAAGAAGCTAAACCGCTTTTTATCAGTATGTGTGTTGGGTACGGGAAAATTTGCTTTTGGAACATTGAAGAATCTTACAGACTCATCTTTAGGACAAACATTTTCAATAATGGTATATTCTGACATTCGGTCAGGATAGGAATTTGGTGAAATAAAGCAAGTTTGGATTACAAAGCCCAGGGATCTCTCAGCCTTTGTCAGAGAAATCTGCATGACAAAAGAAAAATAGATCATGCTACATTTCATGTTTTGAAGATTGAATAGCAATATGATAAAATCAGTCAATCAGATATTGAATACCTTGGCTACCCCTCCCACTTGGATAATCTGAAGAATTAGGAAACCTGGTGCCTATCATTCCCCCCACATCATGAGGGATTTTAAGACTTACAATCCAAAATATTCAGGAGACATTTTTTTCTCCTATGGTAACCACCATTTTTAAAAGTGGATGGAATAAGGAAACATAGTTTTATAGGTGTAATATCCTTGAAAACTTTAGTATGCTAACTCATGGTTTATTTCTAGTTTGTTCTCTAAACCTTAATTGGCTGTCTTCATATAAAATGCCAAGTCAAATGAAAACTAACTGCATTCTATTTTTGCATAGAGTAAACTCATTACCAAGAGGAACTACACTCTATTTTAAAGTGTGCTGACACAGACTTGGTTGACTGTAGTTGGATGTGAACGTTAGTTTTTACAGAATCAAAAATGATCAACCTGATACTAGAACAGGGCATTAACAAATTAAGGAACAAGTGAGAATTTTATCTTCTACTCCTTAAAAAGAGAGCAGGAGAAAGAAGGGGACACTGTTGTATATTAAGAGTTTGCATATGATACACAGCAGTTCTTAAATTTTTTTTCATAGTTCTTGGTTGTACAAAACCACCCAGAGATGCTTGGGATGGACAATCATATAAATCTTTTAAATAAATAAAAGAAGGAAAGAACTGTGCCTGTTCATTGTTTAAACTGTGCGTGCTCATGCATGTGAAATCAGTTTTGCTTCAATTTTAAAGAGAAAAACATGAAACAATAGGGCATTATTTTCATTAACGACTGTTATTTCATAAAAGACTTGATGAGGAAGACACACGTTTTGTACTGGACTTGCCATATTACTAAGATGCCTTGGTCTTTACCACAAAAATTATCTTAATTCAAGATCAGTACAATTTCCTTTTCGCAGAAACCACAAGAGGAGACATCTGTCTGCCAGAGGCAATTGAACAGGCAGGTTTAGGATGTACGAGAACAGCCTTTTCTCAGCTACCATGATCCTGAAAAACAATTTCATTGATTCCTATTTCTGCTTGAGTCGATTACCTCAACAAAAATCTGGCTGTTGTCTGCGACAGAGAAGAATCCTTGGACTGGAATCCGAAAAAGCTCCGTTTCGTAGAGTTCCATTCCGAAGGTGGCATTGCCAACATGTATTTCAGGTGGCCAAAACTTAGAAACCTTTGAATCTCTGGGTTGATGGAATGTGCAATTGAACTAGTCCAAAAACAAGAAGATAAATGTATTGAAAAAGATAGCAAACTATATAAGGGGAGGCAAGAACAGTCGTGGACTTCATTACATTTTATAGCCCCGAGAATCCCTTACAGCCCTGTTGCCAAAACACCAGATTTCAGCAGCCTAATTGTCTGCCATTTTATTTTTTATGTTTTGAGACTTAGGTTAGTTCTAAGCTATTTGAGTGATTTGGTGGCCTAGTTCCATCCAGTCAGACAATGTCTCCATAAAGACCCAGACACTGACACCAACATTCCCACCACAAACATATTTCAAATATGACTGATTCACAAGCATTTTTGAAAGGGAGAAAAATCAAGCTTTCTTCAAAATTTACTTATTTCTCCACTGCTTTGGTTCAGAATGATGTTTTCTTCTTATCTTATTTTCCTGTCTAATCCCCTCATGAATCGTATCACAAAGTCCTTATGAATACACACAAACAATACTCTCTGGCCTCATTAAGCAGCAATTTATATCTTCTTCACTAAATTTATGGCAAGAAAGACATACATTCTTAAACAGAGACAACCAAACAGAAATAAAATGTTTTTTGGGGGTGAATTTATCATTTTGAACAAAGAACAGATTGTGAGATAGGATAAATGAGGAAAACCTAAAATATTGGAAAGCTTTTTTTAAAACCAGAAAAAGTCTATTTGGAAAGAAACGGTTCATTGGGAAAAATAAAGAGACTATTCACACCTTAACAGCATGAAAAACTGATATTGTTTTGGAATTCAAAGGAGACGGTTAGTACTCTGGTTCCTGATCCAATAAAAGACATATAACTCACAGATACATGGAAAAGTGTTTAGCTTTCAATCAGCCTATGCATCATAAATGTTGTTTATCAAATACTTTAAAAATGAAAGTTCTACGAAATGATCATATTAGACAAGCCAAATGATGGCTAATCAATACATACCACAACAATTACAGGCCGGCTAAAAAAGGTGATATCTGATTCATCTGTGTCCCCAGGGAAACCATTATCCCCTGATTCCATGTCTTCATAATCAACCAGCCATCCACTAGCATCAGTTGATGGTGATACCTGGATAACAATCTTTAACCAAATGGAGAAAGTGGGGGAAAAAACAACAACTGTCAAAGCTGTTTGGGGTTCTGGTTCCATTGCACTTGTCTCCTTGATCAGAAACATGCCAGGAAAAGTTGGTTATGGGAAAGATATAATATTATTGATAGTAGATAGTATGGCCTGTTACCTGCTGTTTTAAGTTTATCTTAGTTTTCCATGCAACCACTGTTTGAAACGTTAGACCAAAATAACTTTTTCCCTGAAAGCCATCACTCTGCTAAACAAATAATTCCCTCAACACTGTCCAACTATTTACAAAGTCTGCACTATGATTACTGTTATTCCTCTCATCACTCCTTATCACCCATCCCCTCCCACTTGTGACTGTATGACTGTAACTTTGTCGCTTGTATCCTTATGATTTATATTGACTGTTTCCTAGTATGATTTGATTACTTATTGTACCCTATGACTATCATTAAGTGTCGTACCTTATGATTCTCGACTCTTGACGAATGTATCTTTTATGTACATTGAGACCATTTGCACCAAGACAAATTCCTTGTGTGTCTAATCACACTTGGCCAATAAAGAATTCTGTTCTATTTTATAATAACCACATTTACAGGAAATGTCCTCTGCTTTCCCAAATTTTAGCCTCTTCCTGGGGATATGCTGATTAGGAAGTTTCAGGAAGTTTTTACAGATTGGGGAAAACTTGTTTTAGTTTGTGTACAGTATGCAAACAGAAAGAGCCTATGCAAAAGGCTACCCAGGCAGTCCTTGACTTACAACAATTCATTTAGTAAGCATTCAAAGTTGCAATGGCACTGAAAAAAATAACTTGTGACCATTTTTCACACTTACAACCATTGCGACATCCCAATGGTCGTGTGTTCAAAATTCAAATGCTTGGCAACTGACTCATGCTTATGACAGTTGCACTGTCCTGGGGTCATATGATCACCTTCTGCAACCTTCTGACAAGCAAAGTCAATGGGGAAACCAGACTCACTTTACAACCATGTTACTAACTTAACAACCGCAGTGATTCACTTAAGACATATGGCAAGAAAATTGGTAAAATGGGGCAAAATTTACTTCCCAAATGTCTCACTTAACAACAGAAATTCGGGGCTCAATTGTGGTCATAAGTTGAGGACTACCTTTATGCCCTGATTAGCAGAATAGCTTAAGAACAGTTCACCTTAACTTTTGCAGTTTATTTAAACTGTGATTGCTAGTTTGCACAGGATTTGTCAGGAATTGGTCAAAGGCAAATGAATGCTGAATGATTCCTATTCTTTTCAATAGAGAATAAAAAAAAGGAAGTACATATAGTATGGCCAGTTTCTAAATGATGCTGAACATTTGTCTTGTAGGAAGTTACTGAACATTACTGTTAGGAAGGGCTACCCCAGGATCTAAACCCCTGTGTCTTCCCAGTCAGTCAATTTATCTATCTGCATCATGGTAAAAATAGACTTATTGTTTGACTTCTAAAATTGGAGTGAAATAGCAGTAACATATTGGCTTTAAAAAGCCATCTGAGTATTGGCACAGAAATGAATATACCATCAGTTTTACTTCTCTTTCTGGTAAAACTATAATACATACCGCATTTCAAAAAAGCAATGGTTCACTGAACTGGACTTGCATATATCCTACTTTTTAATAATCATCACAGTATTCAGTAGGCAAAGAGCTATAACTTTATATTACTTCAATATTTCTTTCTTTTTTTGAAGAACACACAATAACAGTGAGTTTTATACTTTCTACTTTTCTTTTGTATTTTTTTCTTTCCCTGCTATACACATTAAGTCTTTACTACTCCCCACTACGCTTTTTTAAATACAAAAAAATAAAATAAAAACCCTTTCCCAATTTAACTCCCCTATTGAACACATTGCTCATTTTCTACTTGCTTTTCATACACAAATGTTCCCTACATATTCTTCTGGTTTTCCTGATGATGCAGCATTTCTTCAATTTAGTTCTACCTTTGTTTGCCCGCATGACAGATGGTTGACACGCAAAAGGTATTTTGAAGTTTTTGCTTCATAATTCACTGCTAGTTTCAGTGATTTAGAAATTGGTCTGAGTTTTAAGAAAAAATGTGTGCTTTTGAGATCAGTGTAATGTTTAAAGATAGCAGTCCAACTGCTGAGTTGAGAGCCAGATGTATTTTTCCACAGCCTGTTGATCTATAGTTTTTGTTGGGTACATCTCTAGATCAAATGCCAACAGCTCTAGCCAATGAAAGATTTTAAATGGCCTTTTGAAAAAAATTGGATAAGGCTACGTCTGATCAGGTTGCCTTAGCTATATTTGAGTTGGACAACAGCTTTTTCTTCATTTGCCAAAATTGTCACTATGTGCTGAAATTACATAGTTATGCTTGTTTACCTGAACTGGCCAACATCTACCCAAGTCACAGTGAAAATCCTGAACCAGACTGAAGGGAAAAATCTTACTTAGGCACAATACCTTGCATAGCTGCTTACACACTTGGAAAAACCAAACTGGATTCAAATTTTCAGCATCAAATATACATTAATATTGAAAATATATTCGACATAACTAGCATATACCAGGAAGCCCCTCCCCAAAAAGCATATACTATATGATTTAACTTAAAATATAACTTTGGAATTGCCAAGTTACTGTATTTGGTTTACTTCTAAATAAGTTCATGCTTGCATCTAATATTGAAAAATTACTGCAATTATCCAAATACTCTCACCCCAATCCCATATAACAATGATGAGCAACTGAAAGAGATATCATATAGTTCTATTTAAAATATTTGTCCTTGTGCAGATTTTTGCATACCTTTGCCCCTGAATGTTATCAGATATATATTCTCTGCTGAAATAGAATCTGTGTGACAAACTAATATTAAAGTTTCACACTTGCTTGGTATATATCCTAAACAAAGTCACCCAACTGGCAAAGTGCTAGAATGAAAAATTAAAACTCGTAGATTCCTTAATTAGTGGCATTATTTTAGTTGTTATAACTTCAACCAAACAGTTCTTGGTGATCAGTCTTTTAATTGTGCTGTAGGAATTTTGGCCCATTCCTCCATGCCAAACTGCTTCAGAAACATTTGAGGGTCTTCTAGCATGATCATTTCCATCCTTCTGCAGTTGGTGACTCAGATTGTTGGGGACAAAATGCTGACCCTGTAAATCGCTTAGAGAGGGCTGTAAAGCACTGTGAAGCGGTATATAAGTCTAAGTGCTATTGCTACTGCGGATACTGCCATGTTTTTATTGCAAGTTGGATGACTTTATTTCAGAAATAATAGACAAAAGATCAGACCCTGTCTATAAATCTATAGGACCCACATTAAGTTCTTGTAATTTTCAGGGACAAAGATATGCAAAAATTCAGACAATCAAAAGGTGGGGGAGGCAAGTTTTAGCTCACAGACATATATAACCATATTTGAAGAATGGAATGAGATAGTGCTACCACCCCACTGTCTCTTGTTAGAAGTCAACATTGTACATGTATCAGATGAAAGATATTATAACGGTAACCTGTGGACTAAAAAGCCACTAGGAAATATTCCTCCCATCTTGTGTATTTCGCGCTTCACTGTTTTTAGCTATAAATCTGGAAAAAGATGTGGAGCAGGTTTCACTAGCTTTGCATCAGAGAAACACTCTGTGCTCCTCCTCCTGATGTCTTCTAAGAGCTAAGGAGCAGAAAGAGAGATTTAGGATTCCATCTCAGTATTCTAGGAGATTAAGAAACTCACAGAGTTGAGATAGACAATGTTATCCAAAGGATAGGGAATCTGTCGGGTCCCACAATCGTGCAAAGATGACTCCAGAATAAAATGGGTCCTGTTTGTTTTAGCTCTGCAATTAGGATCCAGCAGAGAGAGCTGTGTCCCAAAGAAACCGCTAGCCTAAAAGGAAACAGAACAAGACAGAAGGTTATACCCGAACCACTAATCAGAACAGCAAAGGACAGTGATACAAAGCAACAACTGGTACCAAGCATTCTGAGAAATTCTGTATTGGAAATATATTGTATGATTATTTGTGTTGTCACAATGAATGAAGTAGGAAACCAGCAGGGCAGGTATTCAGCTGATAAGCAATTGGATAGTCTACCCATTCAGTAGAATGAAATTTCAAGATCCTTGAGATTGTAAATTAGACTTGAACATTTCAGAATAAAATACCGTAGAGAAATTGATTTTTTGAAGTTCCCATCCAGTTACAAACAAAATGAACCTTCTTTACATGTATAAAAGTTATTATAGAAGGGAGGAAGGCAGTAAACATTTCCATTTCCTCTTTGTGGGATGAGTGGACTTTTAAATGGAGAGAGTGTTTCAGAAAGTGACCAGCTCTTTGAAATGACACAGTCAATTCTAGTATCTCAAAACTATGGCTTTATTCTCTTGACTAGGCTTTGAGCCGTATCTGAAGAAAAGCTGCAGTGCTGAGACTGTGGACTCAGCTGAGCGTCAATACTTTTTAGAGCCAAATGGAACACTAATGGTCCCTTAGGTCACATGACCCTTGCTCAGCTGACAAGAATGGCTTTTGCCTTGAGGTTCAGCAGAACCATATTCATCAAAACAATCAAGGGGAACCCCAAGCAGTACAAAGCAGCTGTGGTGATCCCAGCCTTGCACCGATATCCATATGACCACCCAGAATCCAAAATAATTCCTTTTGAAATGAAATTAAAATAGCATGCTAACCTCTAGGGAGTCTTTTGCTACCGCTACCATCATGGACGTATCGTTACATATCACAGACATGGCGACATCAACGCTACCCTGTACTTCTTCTGGCTCCGGGTCTTTTGGAAGAAGCTGTTCAAAACCATGACTGGCCATGATTGGGTCAACAGTATCGGCTGATGGGAAGGAGCCTTGGTTGTTCTCATGAAGAAAACTGAAGCGCATGTCTTCACTCAAACGTGGGGCTGGAGGAGCTTTAATGCCATGCAGCAGTTCCTTCAGCTCTGGTGGAAGAAAATCTTCTTCTTCTTCTTCATCATTCATTTCTTCTACAGAAAAAGAGAAATTACAAATAGTAATTCCATTCAACTTATTCATAACTAGAGTCATGCACTGATTTGTTCACATAAGCATGTTAAACCATGTCTATGGAGATTCTCAGTCATCTAGGCCATGCCTTTTTCATGGTTGAAAAAGCACTTTTGGGACACGTTAAACCATGATATTATTATTATTTCTTTCCTTTCCCAAGAAATAGTTTCTTTGCCCTATTTTTCTTGCAACAAGTCCATATTTGATACAGTTTATGATTCCCAGCTTGTTTTAACCATCTCTTATTATGTCTGAATGTGTAACAATGGTTTATTCCTAAATTTGTCTTTAACTCAACTTAGCTCTTGTTGTTGCTGGCAGAAATAACAAAGAGAAAAATCCTAAGAATTTACCCAATAAGACTTATCGGCAAAACTGGCTTTTTCTTGTTCCTGGCTTTCTCAACAAATCATGGTTATAACAAATCACTATAACAAATGCCAACTTAGCAGGATGCATGAAACAGACATTATGTTAAGAATCCTATTTAAAGTACAAATAGGACCTGACACTTCTCTTTCTTCACAGAAAACAACAATGAAGGTATCTCATTTAGTGGGGCATATCCTTTCCTTCAACCTACCCAGTGTTCATCCCTCCTGAAAAACTAGCTTTCTTTTATTTCCTTGTTCTTGGAGGGATAAAAACAGCCGTGGCATGGTATGCAAAATATAAAAGCATGAGTTCCCTCAGCATCCTTAGCTCAGGACAATTGCACATTTGACAAATAAAGTTCAAAGCTGAGAATCATCTCACAAATGTGGCATTCCGCACTGTAATTTCCGGGAGCAAAAATGCCCATCAAGTATCTTCTCAATTCAAGACCTTTGGAAAATGGACCCCAGGGAACAAAAGAATGTTGTTGTATTTAATATGATCTGATGTTCCTCCTTACCTGCATCCACGAGTTGTAGGTGAAATCTATTAGCAAGGGGTGCTTTTGTGTACGTAGTAACTGGGTAGTGACCATGCTCATATGCCCAGGCAATCAAATTCTCATGAGAGGAAGGCATATCAAACACTATGGTTTTACTCATGGTCATAGAGCGTTCAGTTTCTTTTCCAAAGCCAACCCCATTTGATGTCTATAAAACAGAAAATAAAAACTTTAGCTCTAGATAAGAGTTTTGTTTCTTACAAAACTTAATGGTTTTGTAAATTGAAAGGTTTAGTTAACTATCACTCCAGATCAAACTTTGCTTTCATTCATTTATTTTGTACCATTCAATCAATGTTTTCTTGTCCACACAAGGAATGTTATCGAAAGGAACAAAACTTAGTGGGTAATGTGTAAGATATGTTCAAACAATTTCAACTGAGGAATAGACATATGACAGAATCTCGCAGCTTCATGAGACTCTTCTATTGATAACCATTAACATATACAATGGCTCTAAGAGTTGATTGCATCATATAGTGGCATAACTGCACTTAGCAAACAGAATAAAATCCTCTATGCCAAAGGATAATTGAGAGGAAATACATACTGCAACAGCTTTTTGCAACCTGATGCTCTCTAAGTATGTTTGAAGTTCAGTTCTCAGAATTTCCAGTCAGTTGGGGAAAGGACAGAAAAGACACTGTAATGATTCTTATGGCTTATAATTCATTACTAAGGATTGGCAGGGTATAAGATTGTCTCTCCTCTACTACCTGTCCCTCTCAGGCAGCAGGAGTTAAATTAAATTGTAATTGTTGATTTCAGAATGTTTGGACAATCAGGGGAACATCTGCAAAACTGAACATCATCCCCAAGTAATCTTTCAGTCTTTGAAAAGAATATATGTCTTCTACTAGGGCAGTTAACACAATTAGAGCAATATATTAAAGTGTGCAATAAAAATAAAATACTACACATACATCCAAGTTTGAAAAAAGGCTTCTGGTAATCCCCAAACCAGGACACTTTAGCAATGTTGCATTTAAGCAATAGTTGGAAAACGTTTATTCAGAAACCATACTTTGCTGCATAAAAGGAAATATGTATAGGACTGAAGATAGTGTGATAAGAACAGGCCTGAACTGAATACAATGTCCTTGGTTCAATATGCATCAGGTTCCTGGAAATGCTTCAGGAAGAGAACTGATCTACCTCTAAGCTTGTCACTGCCTTGGATTTTCCAGTTATTGAACTGAATAGCTTAAGCCAGGGGTGTCCAACCTTGGCAACTTTAAGACTTGTGGACTTCAACTCCCAGAATTCCTCAGCCAGCTTTGATGGCTGAGGAATTCTGGGAGTTGAAGTCCACAAGTCTTAAAGTTGCCAAGGTTGGACACCCCTGGCTTAAGCTATTGTAGTTCTATTCCCATTTATTTTTTTCCTTTAGGGATGGGCAATCTTTTTATTCTAGACAGCTTTTTCTCAGAAATAATCTGTTGACGAATCATAGTGAGCGGGGCTAAAGCACAGAGGGAATCCAAAGCCAGAGGCATGTCAGACACATATAACCTCTGTAATGGGCTCATTTCCCCTTTCTGACATTCCTCTTTCTCCTTTCATTTTATTACCAAACCATCAGTTTCTCTCTTCCAAGCAACCCTGAGACTGCAGGTCATCCCATCCCAATTCAGTCAGTGCTTTCTCTTTGCTTTTCACGTCAGTGAAAACCCTTCAAAGTGTTGTTGATTTTAATCATATATCCGAGTCTAAACATGTAATCACACCTTTTAGCGTGGTGTGATTTGACTTAAACATCCTCATGCAGTAGGAGAAATCTGATTTTCTTGAGCAGCACACCTATCACAAAAGTCCTATGTAAACAAGGTTTAGGCTGCCTTGGAGTCCTCTGATGGGCCTAACTGCAGTATTTCTAGCAATTGTTTTCATTTTTCACAAGGCCCCAAGCAGGTAGCTGTGAGAAATGAAAAGGGCAGTTACACCCAGTTGTGTAAAGCTGCTCAGAAGGCCTAATTTTTACTCTATTTAAGAGAAGGAGATTCTAACATTATGTAATGAGATCCCAGCACCTGCCCCAAAGTGCCAAATGCTAAACTGGAGCTATTGTCAGTGAGAAATATCCCCTATTTAGCAATACTGTGTAACTGACAACTGGCAAGCACTGTCCTATGCAATTGTTGGTTCTATTGTATGCCTCTCAGAATCACATTTGTGACATGAGCAGCCATATAAATTAAACTGACAGACGGAAGATAGATGGTTTCATTTATGAATGCATTCTTGGAAGCAGGAGGAATCTGATAGTCACTGAATCTCTTCAGCTTTTAGAACTGTGACTGGAACAACACAGGAACTTCACATACATGGGACCCTTCCTCTTTCAAATTGCTCTTAATATTTAAATAAAAATATTATTTAACAACTTGATTCTTGCTGAATGAAGAGCTTGAAGAAAAGGTTCAAAGTCCACAGGTGCACAGAACAGGGTGCAATGCACCCCCAAGGCTTATAAAGGCTTTCAGAAATGAACGCTGATCCATCCTTTACACCAGGGTGGGGAACGAAGGCCCTATTATGACTTGTGGACTTCAACTCCCAGAATTCTTGAGCCAGCCAGGAATTCTGGGAGCTGAAGTCCACAAGTCATAAAAGGGCCATCGGTTCCCCACCCCTGCCTTACACGGTAGCAAGCTGCTTGGTAGGTTAGAAGAAAACAAAGCACCAACAACATTAGCAAAAGAGGAGGGAGAGATTTAGTCAGCCTTTCTGTTATCAGGCCTTTCCTTGTACACAGCAAAGCAGGAGCTGTTAACAGACCCATGCCTCCTCCAGACCACAAAGCAGGGCACTGTCTACTTACAATGGCTTCCAACCTCCCCTGCACGTCATGGGATTTGATGACCCAGTTGACAGACTTTCTGCACTTGAGGATAAGTACAAGATCCCTGACAAGTGTGGTGTCTGGCCGAGATGGTCTGATGTCAATGATGATATCCACCTGGAAAGCGCTGGATGTGGAAAAGCAAGGCAGAGTCAGCCTGCATGCCAGAAAATTTTTGCTCTCAACCTTCTTCCAATCCATCATGTTCCCAGTGTCTGGCCAGTAGATTAAAACACTGGAGATTATCCCAGACATCCAGCATGTGCAAAACAGACTGTTCCACCACACTTGCTAGAACAATTTTAAATAACAATGGAAACAACATACTTTTTACACTGATAATGCTCCTCAGAAAGCTTGTCTTTCCCATTTAAAGAGCGCACATTTTCTCTGTTTTGGTGTCAGTTCAAGAAAACCACTTAGAGCTGGCTTTTCACATCTGCACAAAAGAGCTATCTTCTTTTGCATCAGAAGTTTTAAATGCAGATTTTTATACCTCTGTTCCCTTTTGGTACTTTTAGTATGAAGCAAAAGTCACTTTGCTGTCTCTTCAAAGTTCAAAACCATAGTTTGGCAAACAGCAAAACAGCCTGAAGAGTTCAATCTGCTTGCTGGATTTTAGAAGCAAATTCTATAAACACAGAATTACTGAATCTTTGTAGTTTTACTTCATTTTTAAAATGATAGAGAGATATGCTAACTTTGTTGCCAAATATTTTGTTGCCTGCTTTAAATCAATAGCCAATTTCTTGCTCTCCAACTCCTGATTGTGAGCCCTATTCTCTCTTCTCAACCCTTTTACAACTTTATATTATTCCCCTTTATCCCTTGGACTACTATTTTCTATCTCTTTATGCCAGCCTCATAAAACTATTTCAATTCTTGATGGATAATTTTGTTAACAAAAACGTGTATGTGGTCTCTGTATCACCTTATCCCATGATGTTTGATCAACTTTCTAGTTTAATTTTCAGCATTTCCCAATAGTTTCCCACCTAGTAGGAATCATGTCCAACCCTCCTGAGTTTTTCCGAGTTAAGAATAAATAGACACCAGTCCAGCCCAGGTAAAGGTCCAATTAAACTGATTTATTGCTACTCATGTCTTTGCATAGGAATATTCTCAACTAATAGCACCTGCTTGGAGTTAGATAAGGAGCAATAGGATTCAAGGGGGGTTGGACTTAATCACCTTGTGGGATTCTAGGCTGATATCCCTTTTAACTCTGCCCTCAGGTTCTGGCACTCGTTCTCCTACAATACCAACCTTATTGTCACCAGCTATGACAGCTTCTTATAATAAAAGATAAATGCCCAGCATTCAATCCTAATCATGGTATAATTTGGAAGCAAAGAGGACTTCAAACAACTTTTAAGCTTATGTCCAATTATTGTATGCTACATGATGTTTAAGCCAGATGTCCAATCCTTTATATAGCTGACTTTTGTGCTTATTACAATTTGGCACTGAAACCATCATTTTAAGAGAAAATGACACATCTAATTTGATTTGCTTCATTAGATTTATCCCGTGTTTGAAATGTTAGGTTGAAGATATTGAATTTATGACTTTAAAACATCAACATATCAGTTCCAATTATAAAATGGTAGGTTTTCTACTTATTCTCTTTTACAAATTTGTATCAAATGTCTATAAAATCTAGTCTCAACTTCAATATGTTGTACTTTTATACTTTTTATGTGACTTTTACAACATGGGGCTTGGTGCCTTTAAAACTGCTGTAGGGCTGAAACCAGTCCCTTCCCAGTTTGAAGAAATATAATTTCATTTAAAACATTTACCTGTTTGAATCAGGTGCAATAAGTTCAATTATATGAACTTCTTTATCATGGGCCACCCTAGAAATAATGCATCCCTCTGCTGTCTTTGGTTGTAGGTATCCCGCAAGGTAGTTTAAAGAAATAAAGTTCTTTTCTATGTTGCATGTTGTAGGAAAAAGTTGAACTAAAAAAAGAAAAAAAAGAAAAATTATTTCATACATTGGTTTTAATTACCTGAGATTGTCAAATGCAATTATACAGATTACATTTGCAGTGATGCCCAAACTAAATACAATAAATATTCTTTTGTGTTCAGAACTGATTTTTCCCTTTTGTACATTTTATACATTTAATCAATTTTAAGTCATACCAATATGTAGTAATTTATACCACTACCTGTAACACATTCAAAAAATCTCACATATGCTAAAAGTCAAGATACTCCTTCCATTTTCTATTTGATTTTATTTGTTCAATTCTAAGAAAAGGTTCTAAAACTAACAGAGTAAGTGCAGAGTAAGAAGCCTGGAGAGAAATCTAATTGTTGGCATTTTCCGTGTCTGTAGTTCATGTTACTCAAGCCTTTTCTGATGATTATAGTACATTTTTGTTAACACAGTTACAATTCAACAATTAACATGGAGATCCAAAGTTTTTATATTACAGAATTCATAACTAAGGGTAAAGAACAGCAAAGCTCAGTCTAGCTTAAATATGCACATCAGGTGTCTGAATAATGGATACAATATCTCACACCATTTCAAATCTCAAGCAAAGCTTTGGTGCCAAAGAATAGTGAAAGACTGAGAAAAACAAAATCCCTTATTCCTCCAAACCTTTGTTTCCAAATTTGCTTTAACCCAGGCTTGCAATCACAGAGAGAGTGACATAATGTGTGATAGTTCCACCTAATGCACAGATGGGATGACTTACCTTAGGGAACTGTCAACTTTTGACCTTTCAGAATCACCATTGCTACCTATGGAACACTTTCTCCGAAAACAAGAACTCTTACATTACAGAGCTCAAGTTATTTATTACAACACATATGCAAAAATACAATAGACAAATATCCCCAAATACAAGTCCTGCCCCAAGAATACACGCAAAAAAGACTGTGTTCATTCTTCAATGTTAGAAGGACAAAGCAATCCTAGATTTCTAATGTGGAAATTACATATTCATTTTCTGGTTACGAACTAGCTCTTGATCTGTCTAATAAATTAATTCATGTAGTCAAGAATTAGTTATATGTTTAGAAATTAATTCCTTATATGGAAATAGGTTCTAGATGCTTTCTAGTTTCCTCTGCTTTCCTCTCTGTTTACTTTTGTGTTTTTCCTTTTTTAATTACTTTTCTTTTTTTTAATCCCTTTTTCCCATTTTTGTATGATGTACTTTTTTCCATTTTTGTACTGTTAATTAAAGCAATACAACATGTTATGAATGTCTCGCTGTTCTTTGGCTTTTGATACAACTTCCAATACAGGTAGTCCTTGACCTATGACCACAATTAAGCCCAAAAGTTCCCATTGCTAAACAAGATAGTTGTTAAGTGAATTTTGTCCCACTTTATGACCTTTCATTCCACAGTTGCTAAATGAATCACTGCATTTGTTAAGTTAGTAACACAGTTGTTAAATGAATCTGGCTTCCCCATTGACTTGGCTTGTCAGAAAGCTGCCAAGGGGGTGTCAGCATTCCAGCAACACTCCATTCCACCCAATAACTCCGAGACAGACATCTCTTAAAGGTTCCTTTTATTTTGGATAGTAACTGGCACAACTGTGGAATCCGGCATCTGAAAGTTCCTTGCAATAAGTGAAAACTACACAATCCATGCCCTGCACCCATCATCGCATCACATGAGCCAATCACCATCCATCCCCAGTTAAGACCTCCTCTCAGTTATGTGCAACACAACCTGACCTTGAATCAGAAAAAGAATATTATTATGTCTAACTCGATATCCTCCAATATTCCCCCCTCCCACTTTCCCAGGCTCAAATGTGGCAGGGTGGGAGCATCTGATCTCAACATGGCTTTCAAAGCTGACAGGGGGATCACATGCAACCGGTACATTGCAACCGTCATAAACATGAGGCAATTGCCCAAGGTCTGAATTTTGATCATGTGACCATGGAGATGCGTAAGTGTGAAAAACGGTCATAAGTCACTTTTTTTCAGTGCCATGCTAACTTTGGTCACTAAATGAACTGCTGTTAAGTCGAGGACTGCCTGCATTATAAAAGAAAGAGAGAGAAACTCAATCTCCATAGACTTCTTCCACATCATATCTACTTAGGATTACTGTTTTATATTCTACTTTGGAATCATTATGATTTTCATGAAAAGCAGGTAGCACTCTCTACAAAATAAATAGAAAAGGGAACTACAGTATTATTTTCGTTTCCTTGTCTTTTTTTTTAGTAAACTAAATGCCACAAACGTTTTAAACGTTTCCTATAGGGGAATTCCTCCAGCCTTTTGATTGTTTGAGTTGATCTTTTCTAGTTTTCCAATATCCAACTTGAGATATAGCAACTAGAACTATACACATACACACACACACAGAGTATGGTCACTCACATCTGATCATACCAAAGACGTTGAATGAATGGATCGAGACTGGCAGTTTTATTTTTAATCTTTTCCATCCTAACTCAGTTTTAGTGTCCCTTTGCCTTCTTCTCTGGAGGATCCTTCTGTGTGAGCCATGAGAAAGTAAATCTATTCATGGAGTCTGACAGAGCACTCCCCAAACATCTGTTAAGTATCCTGCCAGATGGGATCTCAAAAGTTGCAGAGATATTCTGCCAACTCCTCCCATTCAGACAATGGAAAGTGATCCTGAAGAAGTCCAGCTTGCACTCAGATTAACGTACTCAAAAAGGCACACACGCAAAATTGATGCTCAATGGAGGCAACACAAGGTCTTCAAATGGGCAAATGGCTTTCCAGCCCGTTCTCGGAGAATATCACCACGCGTTTGAATGCGAAAACACTGCAGGAGATTTTGTAACTTCACTGTGTGTTTCTGGAACATCCTCTTGTTTTCAGTCATCAGTACCAGCAAATAAATAAGTCAAAAAGGGGGCAGCTTTTTTCATCATGTTGGTATCACCTTAAAACATATGCTGTTTGGATTGATTCAGCTGCAGGGAACAATCATAGTGTAATAATACATTATCTACATTGTAGATAAAGCTCAAGACTCCTTTGAGCTGAACTAGACTTCTGGTGGATTATATGGACATATCCAGGTAGGCTTCATGGCAACCAAACCAAATGCTTTGACTTATGTCCCCTTTAAAAACTGTTCTTGGGAGAGTTTTTTTCTCCAGCCGATGATAACTGGAGGTGGTTTTATGACTTCCCAGTCTAGCCTTCGACCCAGAGATTCCCTGAGAGTTTTGTATCTAAGGGTTAATGAAGTGTGTCCCTTATCTTTTGTTTTTTTGTTTAACTCTGCTCAACAGGTTAGAGTGTTTGCACTTAAAATAAAAGATACAGATGCTGAGTTTTGTTTTGGCTTTAGAGCATAATTTGCTCTTGGGAGTGGCATAGCAACAGCATTTAGACTTACATACCACTTCACAGAGCTTTATAGCTCTCTCAGTCTGGGTCCTCATTTTACCCACTTTTTTGAGCCCATTCAGGATCGAACTCCAGGTTGTGGGCAGAGTTAGCCTGCAATACTTCATTCTAGCCACTGTGGCATCATCATGAGTAGGTAGTGCTCGACTTACAACAGTTCATTTAGTGATGGTTACCACGGCACTGAAAAAAGTGACTTATGACTGTTTTTCACACGTATGACCGTTACAACATCACCATCATCATGTGATCAAAATTCAGACGCCTGGCAACTGACTCATATTTAGGACATCTGCAGTGTCCCAGGGATCATGTGATGACCAACTGCGATCTTCTGACAAGCAAAGTCAATAGGGAAACTAGTGTCACTTAACAACCGTGTTACTAATTTAACACCTGCAGTGATTCGCTTAACAACTGTGGCAAGAGAGATCGTAAAATGGGGCAAAACTCACTTAAATGCCTCACTTAACGACAGAGATTTTGGGCTCAATTGTGATTGTAAGTCGAGGACTACCTGTATTTTCAGAGGCTGAGACTGGGTCCCTTCAGAGTCCCTTGGGACTGGGTTGCTTTTCCAGAGTGTTACATCCTTGCTGCTATTGCGTTAGGATGGAGCGAGTGATGGAGGAAGGGAAAGCATTGACTAGAGATTATGCAGGGATGTCTACTAACAGATTGTGATGACCCGGGGCGTGGCACAAAAGCAAGAAAGTCACAAAAGTAGGTAAAGTCCCTTTAATACCGCCAACTTGGCCCCCAATGTCCAGTTATCATCGGCTGGAGAAAAAAACTCTACCAAGAACAGTTTTTAAAGAGAAGAAATTCAGTCTGAACCCAAAGAAGATATAAATTATAAATAAAAACCAACACAAACCACGCTGCAGCAATTAACGAGACAGGGCAGGATAAGTAAATGGAAACTTCAATAGATAACAAAACACACAGAGTTGAGAGGATGCCAGAACCCAGATAAGACTTGACAAACCAAAATAATTCACGCTTTGTTTCCAGCAAGGTACGATGCGCAAACGCCCTTTTTAAATCCTGTTTTCCCAGTTACAGCTAATGAAGGGAATCAGGGCCCTTTTCTCCCCTGTAATTAACATAACTCGTGTTGCTCCCTTTTCCGTTCCTTCCTGAGTGCCCGAGGATGAAGAGGGGGTGACCCTGGGTCTTCCTCTGAATGTCCAGCTGGACTGTGCCCTTCCCCAGTTTCTTCCACAGTCACTGGAGCCACATTCCCACTCCCTGTCAGCTGCTTGATCTCCCTCTCAGAATCAGATTCCAACAGGGGCATGACACAGATCTTGCAAATTAGAACTTTTTTTAAAAAAAAACTATTACTATGAAATTAAAGTGCATATGACTGAATGGGCTTCATGTGTGCTATGTTTTATTTTGCAGGTAGTTAGTGGAAAAATGGGTGAGTGGGTGGTTGGGTATGTGTACTACACTGCTCTGGTGTCTAATGTTATGCATACAGTTAATGTATGTGTGTGTATCTACTTTCGGCAGTTGCTCCTATGTGCAAGCAAAAACCTTAGCAAAAGATTGCCTCAACTGCTAATTAATAAGGCCCTGGTT